AGGCCATATAGTCTTTTTTCAAGCACAGATAATTTTGGAGGAGATTTAAGAAACATCATCAGTATTTTGTTCCTGGGACAACCTAACAAAGTTGCCACCGCAGCATTAGGTTATAAACATCACATGTCATTACAAATTGAGTGTGAGAACTACTTAAATATGTAAGAGTTCTGAAACTTTGAAGTAAAAGGCATAGAAAAGATAGGTCACTTTTTGCTTTTATGTAACATTCAACAATTTGTTATCTGCAAGAAACATACCTCACAACCAAAGGACACAAAACTAAAAGCTAGAAAGATTGGAAAAAGATACCAGCAAGAGGAAATTGAAAGCAAGCAGAAGTAGCTATTCTCAATTAGGCAAAAAAAAATTTACTGTAAAAATCAGTCAGAAGAATAAAGAAGGTAACTACATACTAATAAAGGGAACAATACAGCAAGAAGATATAATTCTAAATATATATGCTTTGGTTAATTTGTGATAGGTCACTTTGTACTTAACAGGGCCTGGAACATGATCCTCTGACTTAGCTTCCTGTAAGGTCAGGTTACATGGCTAGCCCTGGTTGATATGGGTTCTTATGATCTTTTTGACAAGTTATTTTTTCCGAGTGGCTAGGACTAAAGAACACTATGTCCAGCCTCCTTTTTTATGTAAGTAAAGTTTAAATTCAGTTGCCTCCAAGCCTTCCCAGATTCTCCACACTTCTAAGTATTCTATCATGTTCCTATAATGGGCGGATTATGTCCCCATATAACCTTACATTCTGCTTTATTATTGATAAACTGTAAGACATGCCCTTGTCTATGTGCCGGTCCTATGTCCACAAACAATCAAGTTTAGTGAATGTGAAGAGACCATATTTTTATTTTTTTAGCTATAAAGAATCATTTCTCTGATCTAAGTAGTTCTGTCAGAATAAATCAATCTTTCTGAAATCCTGGTAATTAGTTTCTCTTTTCTAAAAGTTCCTATTAAGGCAAGTTATACTGATGGAATATAAGTAACATCTTTTAACTATACAATTTCTCCCCCAAAATTAGATTTTAAGATTTCTGCTGTTCAATTCATAGTATAAATTGTGAGGGAAAACAAAAACTTCTAAGGTCCATTACTCATGTCCTAATTTCTACCAAAACATATACCATTGGTTGCACAATTTATCTCTCCTGGGTCTTTCTGTAGTTTTGTGCAACATTTTGTACATGTTTCCTGAGAATTCATGTTATAAGTCCTCAAATGTTGTTGTCTCTACTTGCTGCAAACAACTTTACATGAAAGATAAATCTTAAAATTGCTTCACACCTACCAAAATATACTTGTGTTGTCAACTCAAATAATCAAGTATCTTTCTACAGCTGTGTCACTATTTAAGAAGTGTAATGGCATAGGAGAAAATGGTGATAGGTGCCACCATTTATGAATCCAATTTATGAATCTTTAGTATTCATAAATTATGTCTATCTAATTATAATAACTAATATGGCTAACAACAATGTGTAGTATGTAAAACTTGCTGAACTACTCGTAAGTTTTGTAAACACACATACACACACACACACAGTAACAGTATCCTGTGAGAGCTGTGTTAACTAGATTGGTCATGAGAATCATTAAAAGTGAAACATCTACATCAAAATATTACATTGCACAATTAACTGTAGATACTCTGTCAACCACCACTCAATAAAATAGGAAGAATTGACATGGTCTATTCTGAGGGAATATGTTTCACCACTATAATATTCAACAATTATCTTCAAAAACACAGGGCTGCACATTTAGTTACACATTTCTAATCCTAACTACTTTTTCTTTGAGCCTTTGAAATTCTTTAAATAACAAATCTGAAGAATGGTAGTAATGCAGTTTTGAACCCAGTCCATTACACATATTTTAGTAGGTAAAATTTCCCCAGCAAAATTTGGCCCCTCTATCATATTTCAACAATCTTCAAAAAGCTCCCATTTCTTCACCTAATACTAATTTTGGTTTGCAAACTTTGGTTGACCATTTACACATTAAATGCCAACTCCAGACACTGTGTGAGGGAGGAGCTATTTGCTGCAGAATCCTATAGGAAGGATATACCTGTAAATCAATGAGAAGCAGAAAGAACAAACTTCTGGATAACTCTTAGAGAAAATGTGGAATACAGAAATATGTTAGCATTTCAAATTAGGATATAAAATTCATCTAAAGCATAGACAGAATATTACTATTTTTTTCTATCACTCACATCCTATCTTCCATTAAATGTCCAGAGCTGTATGTTGGTTATTTATCTGTAAGCTCTACTAGCAGCCTTTTTCTAAATATAATATAGGTGTTTTTCCTCCCTGCTACATTTACTTAGCATCTGCAAAAATCCCAATTTTTCACTCTCTTTTAAAAAACATTTTATAAACTATCTTCCCCAATAAGAACAAATACCGTCTTCCCACTTAAGCCCTTATGGTGATCAATTCTGCAACTGCTTTCATGGAATATCTTTTCATGGAATAACTATACTCAGCCACCAATCAAAAGTCATGCTTATACAAGAGAACTAGCATGTAGTTGGTAAAATTCAAGCAAGAAACAAAGAAATAGAAAAATCTTTGTGTTCTAATGTGCAAAATCTTAAGTTTTATTAGACTTTCTGAAAAGTTGAAGGTTTGGAACAATCTGAAGGAATACTAGAACTGCTTCAAGCATAACAGCTAAAAATCAAAACAGAAACAAAATTCCTGATGGTGTAATAAAGGACTTTCCATCTTCCAAAGCACACGTCTGTCTTTTTACTTCTCAGTCCACAGGTTTTGTTTCTAACTACTAATTCTGAAAATATTTTCTATAATTTAGAGACAAATACCAGTACATGCACATTTAGAATGAGCAGGAGACAGAGATCTCAGATAAAGCAGAAAATTTTTGAGTGGACAGAGAAGGAACAAAGCATTTAACATCAGAAAGACTTTAAAACTGTTGATTTTTAAAAGCTTCAAAATCACCACTGAAAAACAGGTCCTGTGTAAGTCAGTGGGCTTGTTTTCTGGTGCTAAAGGAAACAATTGATAATTAAGGATCCTGTCATCGTGAAAATGCAATACTGAACTCAGTGAAGCCTGAGTGGAATTCTGATTTAGGACCCGACCCCTATTATCTCTGACTTTTAGCTGTTCCTTCTTTAGAAGTTTCAGTGTGTAGGGATCTGAATGAAAAGTACTTAACGGTCATAGAAAATGTACCAGGCAATATAAAGCCTGAAAAATCACATTTTGGGTCAATCACTCTGGCCTCACTAATACTGTATCAGTGCTACTGTGATTAATTCAGAAATTTGGGATTTCATAAAAAATATTTTAAACTATTTCCTAACAACCAAAACTGAGTACCCAATAGTAGCAACTTTTTCCTACTATGTAGCTTCTAACCTTTCAATGAAGTTTTCATTCTTAGTTATTTATTTTGATAAAAAACAAAACAAAAAAGGCCAACACAGTGGTTCAATCCTTTAAAACTAGCTTTGAGGTAGAGATCTAGAGGATCATAGTTCAAGGCCAGCATAATTAAAAAGGTTGTAATACCCTTTTCAAGCAAGAGCTGGGTGTGGCAGCACAGGCCTGTCATCTGAGCTAAGATGGAAAGTGTAAAAACATGAGGATCTCTGTCCAGGCCAAGCAGACAAAAAGCAAGACCCTATCTCAAAAGAAACCAGAGAAAAAAGGGCTAGTGTGGCTCTAACAGTAGAGTGCCTGCCAAAATATAAAGCCTTGATTTCAAGCAGAAATACCATAGCCAAAATTTATTTGATTATGATTATTATTATTATTATTATTAAGGCAGAATACAACTTCCTCCTCTTCATATGAACCATCCAGGAGAAAAGAACAGCTTTTATAAATTTAAAACTGCCTATATGACTCGCTCATATCTCTAACTGAACAGTGGCATCCTCTCGGGTAGGTTTTATAAAAATAACTGTGCCTGGACCTTTCTGATTAATTGGTGTAGGATAAAAATTTGGTATGGCATATCTTAAGCACCCCAGGTGGTTCTAAGTTACTGAGATGATCAAGAAGCAGACATGATTAACAACCAGAACAGCTTTAGCCCATCTTTCATCATTTCTTTTTAAGTTGTTAATCTGAACTGAAGGCTCTTCATCCTCAGGGCTGCCAGTTGGAAATTGATTGTTAGTTTTTGTTAGTGCATACTAATTGCACAAAGTAAGGTAGTTCCTTATGATACTTCCCACACATGCACAAAATGCAATTTGATCATACTCACCCACTCTGAAAACCTATATTATCTGAAAACCTGTATTTAAAATTTATGCATGTAAAAATAAAGTGTCCAACTTCTCAAATCTATAGCTATATTCAGTTTTTGCCATCGTGACGAGTCCTATCTCAAGTTACAGACTCTACTTCACTAAATCTGTCAGAAATTCAAATATTTCAGTAACCAGACCAGCCTCCCAGACTGTCTCTCAGATTTTGTATGGTTCAAATTATTTTGGTCATATTACAACTTTTATAGCGGAGTTCTTAAAAATATTATCACAGGTTCCACCCATAGTGTCAATGACTTCTTTTTTTCCAGTTTATCCTCAAATATTACAAGTCCCCTTCATCCATAATGCTCTTTAAAGACTTTTTAGGTTCTACTCATTTCTTCTACATTTCTATACACACAGAATACCAGGTTTCATAAGGAACACTCACAGTACGATTGGCTCTGTACTTCAAATTATTATTTTGGCCCACATGTCCTCTCCAACTAAAGGTCTCTTTAATCCAACCATCACTCGACCAGCCACTCCAACACACTATTAGTGTTACGTTTGAACTAGAGATTACGCCACAGGTGCTAAGCAGATACACCATTCCTGCCCGTGGCGATTACTTTTAAACTGATCTGCCCATCTCTTCATAATTCCTCTACTCTCTCTCAAGATGTAACATTTCTATGTAGACAACTTCCATAAACAAGGTCTCCTTACTAAAAGCCCTCCACCTCCACCCAGTGCCATACCTTCCAAGGCCAATTTCTGCTTGCTCCTCCTCTCTCCTAAGATGGGTACTTACCAAGGAAAGTAAGTTTCCCCAAGTAGGACCACTGTGGCTAAAAATGAGCAACTGAACGTAGGCGGACAGGACCAGCAAGGAAACAACCGCTAAGAGTTAAGGACTGCAGGACGTGCCGCTCCCGGACAAGGCCTAGGACTCTGCCACGAGAAGTGACGTCAATGCTGGGCTTGAGCGGTGCCAGGCAACTCTGGCAACGGTTAGCGTCTCTGGCAACCGTTGGCAACACTGGCAACGGAGGCAGCTACGCCTCTGGACTGAGGTAGGAAAAGTGACCAGCTCTGGTTTTGCTAACCCAAAAAATGATCTTTGGTAGTCCTTTACACATGTACCACCTTCCCTTTTCCTCCCCTGGCCTCCAGCCCTGGGAATCTGAACGCAGCTCATTTACTGTCAGACTACTCTGCTTCTCCATGGTCTACCTGTTGGATCCCAAGCACATTTAGTGTCTTGTGTTTAAGTTAAGCATCTCTCCTGATTCTTTCATTTAGTCCTAGTGCTTGAATCTGCTCGAGTTTTAGGTTCTTTCTTTCCTTAATTGGTTAAAGGGGAAAATCATTACTGAGGCCTGGAACTCTGTTAGGAGTTTAAACAGTAGTAGCTTCCTGTTATATGTCTTTTCCAGAATCAGTGCTTCATGTGCAGTTTGTCCCGATCACTAGAATCACCCACTAACAAACTGGTACCGAAAATACTATAGGGACAAAGCTGTGTGGTGATTCTATGAATTCCATTCCAGTGTGTCCATCAGGAAAGAATAGGTTACCTGGCTATAGGCTACTGAATTTTCTATGTATTATTCATTTATATGCCTTAAAATCAAGAAATAATACTTGGCTCCTCCCTCCATTCCCCTTTAATTTTAAGGAAAAGGTAACTAGAACAGTAGAATGTCAAAAAGTAGGATTTCTGTATCTGTACGTGAACAACATTTTTAAGGTAGCTTCACTAAAGACTGTTATTTAAACTGTTGGTCTGGAGACATGAGCTGTACAAGTAAGTGTTTTCATGATTGCCATAGGACTTATTTTAAAATTAGGTTTTCATAAAAGAGTAAACTTATTTAATCACAGTGCTTAATGGAAGAGTTCTCCAGGGAAAGAAGGTAATTTCTCTTTTAATTTTTCACATTTATCAGATTTGTACTGTTATGGCTGTGTTATCCATAATCAGACAGTTTTAAGCTCTAAATTCACAAGTTTTCACTATGCAGACAGTGAATGAGTAGTGTAGGGCTCAAATCACCAAGTCTTCCAACTTAGCAAAGGATATTGTGAGGAGCAAAGTGATGCATCATTAGAAAAAGGGGAACATGTGTGTTACTTACTGATCATGTTTATTAAACGTCATGAAAATGATATGCTAGAATGTCTCTGTGCATTTTTGATAGGCAGTATGTACATTGTTCAACGTAGGCATTCAGTACTCTCAGATTCTACAAAGAGAAGCGGGGAAGACTGTCAACATGCCCACCATCTTATAATTTTAACCAACTTGAAAGGAGAACTTTAAAATAGTACCTTCATCCTATGTTTATCCAGAAGTATAAATAAAAGTATACTCTTGAGCTTCTAATTTTAAATAGTAGGGAACCCTAAAAATTGGCAAACAGAGGCAGGCCATTGTAACACCACTTAAAATAGACATTTTGTCACCTAGTACAGTTATATTAATAGTCATACTCAGTTCAATGATTGGTGGGTCCTAGAGTTTATTCCAGGAATGTGAATTAGACAAAGACATAAAACATGATTCTTAGGAGTTAAAGAATGCTTTGAGGAGGAGAAAATGTTTTGGGAGAAGAAAATATGTTAATAATTTCTTATTGAACTTTGATATCTTCATGTTCATAAATGTCTCCACTTCCTAGGCATGTTTTAGAATATTTAATTTCTAATTCTTCAAAATGTGCTTTTCCCCACCAGCACTTGGACTCAGCTCTTCTGTGTTTTCAGGATGGAAGACACTTACAGTATGTACTTCTTGCTTATTTTGGAAAATAAATCAAATCATTTACATATAATTTGATGGTTGACTATACTTGTAGTCTGTTGAGAAAAATTCATATTCTCTCCCTCAACTGCAGAAGGAAAGGTGTAGAGAACTGTTCAAATTCAGAAGACACTTTAACTTCAGTAATTAAAAATGTATTAGAGCAGAGCATGGTAGTGCACAACTGTAATCCCAACACACAGTTCTCTGAAGCAGGAGGCTCTTAAATACTTAAGATCTGAAAACCAAACAAATACCAAAAAACAAACAAAGGCTGAGGATGTAGCTCAGTGGTAGAACACTTTTGTTGCAATTAAGTAAGTAAATAAATAAATGAAAATAAAACAAAATGTAAATCTGTAAAACAGTATTAGAGCTGACCTGAATTTCCAGAGACCAAAGTGTAAGGTATCGTGGGTGTCCCCATTACCAACTCTGTCATGTGCTACTATGGGGAAGTGTAATGCTATCAATGAGAAGGTATGTCTACTTGGGTCAGCTGCTGGAATGACCTAAGTTTGCGAGTGAAGGAACGGATTCATGAGTTTCATCTGTTAATGCTGCTTGGGTGTCATGAAGCTTCATAAGTAAGAAAAGATTGCTGTTCAAGAGGAGTCTGATTGTCATAATAAATCTGCTTATTCTTTAAAGTATTTTCCTTCCTATTCATTCTGTCCTTTAAGTCACCTTTCCGGCCCATTTGTATCACAATCATAGTTAGCAATTTACTTCATGTTTTCCTTTCTTCCTGTGAAACTTCCAATTTCCCCCTGGGCTTCTGGTTTATACTGCAGTCTCATGATATAACTTTCTTATCAAATGTGAATTGTACATCTTGTTTTACTTTTACCTTATCTGCAGAGGTGGTAAGATCATTTTTACTAGATTGTTATTCTCAGAATGAAACATTCTGCTTTGTATAAATGACATACACAAGTTAAAAAGAGAGAAAGATGAAAAAAAGAATGTGCTCAACCTCTGGTATCCTTTCTTAGTAAGCTTGTTAAAATTTAGGGCTCAGGATAAGAGCACTTTTACATGTTACGACAGGCAAGAGGCTTCTTTCACCCATCAGTTCCATAAATCTGCAGCTGCCTTCCCTCAGTACATTCTGGTTGTACAGATTGTTCAAACTTCTGAGCTGACCAATTTGGTAATCATTATTGTTTTTTCTCATCTGTGTTCCAAAATAGGAAAAGTAAAACCAACTCACTTATCTGATAAAGGTACTGGGTTCCTTTGAGAGGTAACTAGAGTTAACAATGGTAACCAAGGATAGAAGTAAATTAAGGCAGATAGATGAAAAATAAACCCAGCCACTAATATTTTCTCACGCTTCCATAAGATATATGTGTTCCGGAGAAGTACACATTGACTTTATCCATGTCATGGCACAGTAGTAACAGACAAAGATGCTAATGAAGGACTGAATTACACATCAACTCGCCATAGGACAGATTGTATTGGAGGCAAAGGATGATTTGCAATTGCACACAGATTATAAAAATGGCACACAAGGAATCCTTTGCAACTTCAGCATACTGATTAGGAAGCTCTGGCTTTACTAGTTACAGAACAAAAATTAGCACTTTTAAAAGGAAAAAAATGATGTATTTAATTTAATTTTGTTTTGTTTTATACAAGTGTAATCAATATTGAAAACAGTATTCAATCAAATGTGAACTAAGATTGCTGGCTCTACTAGGCTTAAGGTTCAATGATAACACAATTTTATTTTCTTATAGTTATATTCGCATTTTAACTGTCTTTTAATTTAATTTTCCTAGACTAACATTCATTCTGTTATTATTGATTGTATGAAAAACTCTATTGTTCCTGCAAAGCTGTAATTTTACAAGGTCCTACTAAGTTGTGCTATTTTTTTTCTCTCTTCCAGTGGATTCCCTGGACCCTGAGAGGCTATTACAATGCCCCTATGATAAAAATCACCAGATCAGGGCCTGCAGACTGCCTTATCATCTTGTCAAGTGCAGAAGGGTAAGCTATTATTTTCAAATTATACCCTCTCATGGCCTCTTGAGTTCTTTGAGCAGGTCAGATTTTATAAACAGAAAGTAGTTCTAATATAAATATTTTAACACAAAGGAAAAATTAGAGTAGGAGCAGAGAATGGAGTGCAGTGGGACTCAAACCTATAATGGCAGTTACTTCAGGGTTGAAGAAGAAAGCCAGCCTAGAGAAATAGTTTATAAGACCCTATGTCAAAGAACAAGCTGGTTTCTTAGCCCATGCCAGTAATGATAGCTACATGGGAGGCAGTGGTAGGAAGGCTGGGGTACAAAGTGGGCCCTGGGTAAAAACCGTGAGACCCCATTTGAAAAATAAGTGTGAAAGTGTGGGGTGGCTTCGGTGGTCCAGTGATTGCCTAGCAAGAACAAAGTGCTGAGTTCAAACTCCAGTGTCAACAAACAAAAAATTATTTGGGAAATCTACCTTTATATAAATGCCAACATTTATAGAAAGATTTGTTTATAACTTGAAGTGCTCACTTTTCGTATTTATTGTTTTCCCCTCTAACTAATGATGAAGCATGAGTTCATAAACAGCATTTCTAGATGTTCCTTACACTTTGTTAAACAAAGGAAACACTCTTGCTTCTCTTGTAATGAGAATCCCTCTTACCATGTAAATTTCTATGTGTTTATTACCCTCAAGATTAAGTGAAATAATGTGTTTTTTTTTTTAGCTTTTCTGTTGTTAGAATTTTGGAGAGGCAAAAGTATTATTCATAAAAATAACTGCTTCTTGTAGTTTTAACATATCTTTAATAAAATTTTTTCTCCCTAATTCCCCTTCTATAGATTTAGCTGGTAAAAAATGCTAAAATCCTATACTAATTTAAACAGCCACTTTGATGAGCTGTTAGAATACTGGTGTCAGGTACACAGCACAAAATTATGCTAGCATTTATGCTTGTAAAACAGTTTTAATATTTAATCTAGATGCATGCAATTTAGTTTTAACATCCTATTTATTCATTCATTCAATTATTTATTTCTGGGACTAGGATTTGAACTCAGGGCTTCACATTTGCAAAAGAAGTGCTTGGTGCTTCTGGCACACCTCCAGCCATTTGCTGTAGTGTATTTGTCCAGACTGGCCTCAAGCCACAATCCTCACAGTCTTCTGCCTTTCAAGTAATTAGGTTCATAGGTGTGAACCACTGGCACCCACTTTAACATTCCTTTTAAAAGGATTTCCTTTGGAAGGGGAGTAGCTCTTTGATAGAGGCTAAGAATGATCACTCCTATGATTTCACCATCAAAAGCAGCAGTGTTTATCTTTTACTCCTGAAAACATTATGTACCTTTGCTATTTATTTCTGAACCTCTTTTTACTCTCTAGAGCAAGGATCTTTTAAAATTATACCTTGACAATACTGACAGTAGTACAATTTCTTTTGCTAGGCTATCAAACATTATATAAAGGTGATGGCTGGAAAGAGGGCCAAGTGTTAAAAAGGCATTCTCATAACTCATGTCTTCTGCTGGACTTCCTTAATCATTGCACAAAAACCATTCATAGAATGCCTAATATCCCAGATGGGAAAGATGCCGTTTGCTGCTAATTCTGGTTTGTCCAGCCTTCTCCCTGCTTTACATGAAATTTGAGTGTCATTTGTGATGTGATTTTTTTTATTTCCTTGATAAACACATTTCCTAATTGCTGTCACTATATACATGAGGATAGATAGATAAATAGATAGATAGATCATAGATTTATAAGACTTTTGTAGTATAAAAGTCTTTGTTTTTTTCTACAAGAAGTACATTTTTCTGCAAAGTAGACTATTATTTTTAGATTGGGCTGCTTTGTAGTAGTTGAATGTCTCTGAAAGAGAAAAATAGCTGAAATGAAGGCAAATTGGTCAGAGCTTACTTTTAGGCATCATTACTTTATCTGTAAAACAACTGGTTTGTCTTTTCTGAACTCTATCACATCAGCTATTTTCCAGCACTATTATACTTCAATAGCAAGGCCATCACCCACATGCAGACTGAGTGTTTTTTAGTTTTATTTTTCATCCTCATGATCAGCTTTGAAAGATACTCAGAGGGCCCTATTATTACAGGTTGTGCTGCCTCAATCCTGTGATTCTGAGAAATAAACAGGAAGAAGATGCAGTTAAAATTTAGTTTTACCACTTTAATGTCAATATCTGTATTTTCAGTCTGAACAATAAGTACAAAACGCTTACCTTTTAATGGCTTTAAAAGAATGTCTATGTGGTTTATATGAGTGATAAATAATCACTCACATAATCCACTTCTAATTTTCTATTACGAGATTATCTACCATATTGAGCCACAAGTTTGCTGAAGAATTTTATGAGTGCCACTTATAGAACAGGCTGAGCTACTCCCCTTCAACTCTGAAAGATCTCAGGAGCTGACAGGTCTCTTAATTTTGATTCTGCAGATTCACCCTGATGTTGAGAACAAAGTGGTTACTTGTCTCTTCAATGCTAGCCACCGGGTTCTTCATGCTGAAATTATTAATCATATCTCAAGCTGTGATGACAAGAATTGTTCTGAGCAGCATGTGGGTAAGCCTGCAGCTAAAATATTTCAATTTGGAGATTAGCTCCTTCCTATTTGAACTGTGTTGCATTGGCAGATTGATTTTTGGGTTTCACATTTCAACAAAAATCAGCCTTTTCTGCCTTTGAGATTGGTATCTCATAACAGCCATAAGCTGTCTGTGTCAGACTGCTCCCTTCTGAAGAGCCTGATTCACTCACCTAATAAATCATCTAAGCATAAATTCCTTTATTGACAGAAATATGGCAAAGCTTTTGTTTCTCAAGCTTCTTTCTTGTGTTTATCAGCCAGAAGACAAAAAGCCTCTGTTTCACTTTCATACTCTCCATTATTTACAGGCAAAGCTTAAGTATACAATACCATGTACTCTGTAAGCACAGTTACTTGGCAGTGCCCCTTCTTATGCCATATCCCTATTGTCCTGCAGACAGCCAAATCAGAGATTTTGGACAAGAACCCATGGCTGAGAGCACATGGCAGGGCCCTCCATGTGAAGAAGACTGGGATAAAGGTGAAATGGCCCTATATCTTTTAAATCATGCTGGCTAATTCTAAAATCATTTACTGAGAAAAGAAGGAAGGTTTTCTTTAATTTTTAATATTCTATGCTGTTCCAAATGCCTTATTATTTTATTTGGCTCCAAAACAAACACATTTGTATTGCTCTGCAGATTCAGAGGAGTCTATGCCCTCTTGAATTTGGAAAAGAAATTGCTATGCAGGTTTTTTTTTATAAATAGTGTTGTAATATATAAGTTTGATTGTTCTAGCACTTTTACTTGTGTCGCTCATGTTTATATCCTTCAATTAAATCCCTACTTCCATGTCACTCACACAAGATAATTCATCAATTTCTTACTTGCATCTCCAAATTTAGGTGTATTTTTTCCCACCTTACAAATAGAACTAGCATGATCTAGAGTTTTATCTAGCAGTACCACAAACTATATTTTTCTTTCTTTCAGCAGAATTGTTGGGGCAATCTAGCACCCCATTTGTCTGGGGCACTGCCCACTTATGTGTCAACAACAGGTAAATGACTCACACCAAATCAGATTAGATCAGATACATTTACCACAAAAAGTAATCTTCTTTTCTTGATGATGTTCTTTGGTGATTACCTCGTGCAAATATTGTTTTTCTGAGTATTATTTATTTACTTCTTAATTCTTCTGTAACTACTGGTAAACCAAAACTACTAACTGCTGGTAAAACAAAACTACTATTTATTGTCTTAAAGGGGAGAGATGCCAGATATTCATGTGTTTTAATAATATTTGGAAAGTTTAAATTGTTTTAGTACTTGAAAACAATTCTCAGTTGCTCCTGTGAGATAATTTTTACTCTAGTAGCTGGTGTCTACAAAAGAGAAATAGTTTTGAAAGTTGTTTATATCATATTTGAAAACTCACAGTCCCTATTTATTATTGTATAGGAATGAAAAATGATCTCTTGGGTGAATATGATCAAAGTTTATCTATGTATCATCTATCGTCTATCTGTTCACATCTACTTCATATATATTAAATACATGAAACTCCCTAGAATTATTTTTAAGAACTGTGTGGGAAACTAAGAAAAATGAATATGGTTATTACACTCTCTATACAAGAAAGAATATAGAAATCTTAAACCATCTGAAACCACCATAAGAAAGAGACTAAGGTAGAATGAAAAAAGCATACAAGAGGTGAACCACTGGTGTAATAATACATATATACATGGAACTATCACAAGGAAACTTCCTTTGTAGCTACCTGTATCTCAAACAAACAAAACTGTCGATTTTTTTCTTTTTTCCTCTACAAAATGGAGAACAGGAGGGTGGAACAGGTCCTGCAGTGGTGGTGGGATTAAGGGAGGTGGTGGCAGAGAAATGGGCAGCAGCATCAAACAGTGCAAAAAACATGTAGACTTGTATGTAAATGCAAAAAATGATACCTGTTGAAACTATTACAGGAAGAGGGGAAGGATAAAAGAAGAGGAGTGGAAGGGGTAAATTCAAGTACCATATATTTGATATATGATAAAAATTTTTATAAATACCACAGTGTACCCTCACTCAGCACAACAAAAAAAAACATGGTAGTGGGGGGAACAGAGGGATACGAAAGCAATAGAAGGGTGACTTTGAATGAAGACTATAACATATGCGTGCATGGAAATATCACAAAGGGATCTGTTTGTAGAATTAATTTATGATACACATCCACACATACTAAAATTAAACTCTTGAGATTTATTGTTTACTGTCAACCCTCAATCATTAGAATAGCAAATTTCAAATGCAAGTGAGACAATTTCTGGATTAGAAAAAGGAAGTAATAAGGTAAAATACCTCATTTCCCAAGGACAACATCAATTTAATAATTTTTGTATTTACTATTTTACTTGTATACACTATTTTATATAAAAATAATAAAATATAGTATATTGTGTATATACTATTTATACTATTATAAATAATATAATACATACCATAATACTATAAACAAAAATAGATAAATCCTATTGGTCACAACTTTCACTTTAGCACAAGCCTATGAGTTTTGTTTCCTTAGATTAAGTTGAATGTTTAGTTAATCTCTTATGTTTAATGAAAGAGTAGCTGCACCTGTAAAATTACTCAGCACTAGATGGCACTGATGTTTTCCTTAATTTCTGGTTAGTGAAAATGGTTAGACCTGTACAGAACCAGGAATTTTCCAGAGAAATGTTAGGCATTGTAATTGCAGAAATGTTTTGATGGGAATTATTTATGTTTTTGAGGAATGTAGGTTGTTGTGCTTGCCCACACATTTTGATTATCCTGCGGGTACCTGCCTGAAGAGTACAGATATGCTGACATATTCAAATTACTCTTTCTTTTTGCAGTTCTGCAAACAACATAATTACAGAACGTAAGAGAAACCTGGCCTCAGGCAGGCGGGTTCCCAAGACTGTGCGCTATGTTCTACCATGGAAAAACAGTAAGAAAAATTGAGGCAAAACACGTTTATTCTCTTAATTGTGACAGAAACTCTTAGTGTGTTCAGCCTAAACAACTGCCCTTGCATGACCCTAAAAGTGAATGGCTCCATGAATTTTGTTTGATAAGTACCATATTAACTTCACCCTATTCCATCTTGGTCAGAATCAAGAAATCATGAACAGTCAAGTACAATATCACAGATTGAAATTAATATTTTCAAGATGGGGTGAAAAATGACATTAAAAACCATGAATAAATTTGGGGACCAAAAGTCTATTGAATTTGGTTAGGAGGAAGTCATTCTAGCTGTCATGGAATAATATCAATAGAAAATTGGGATCAGAAATTGTATTGCAGGGGACTAGAATAAAGAGGGTAGAGAGAGAAAGTAATCAGTCATAAGTACCAGTACAAGAGATGGATTCAGATCTGAGGCCATGCATGGGTAAAAAAGTCCTAATTCCTATCATACTACATGGATTAAAAAAAATCTTCTACAGTATCATACACAAGGTAGCATAATTTTCATTTACTACAAGCTTCATTCAGTATCCTGACAAAATAAGTCATTTTCATTTAGTAAGCCTTGTAGATGGAGTGAATTTCCACTGACCTACTGTATTTATTCTGAAATATTTCAATTCCTAGATGGAAATGCACAGTAACTGGACATTAGTCTTAGGTAAGTGTTTCAATTTTGTCTGTTCAGAAGGTAGTAGAAATTACTAGAGTATTAACCAATTTGGAGCCAATATTCTTTCACATTGTGGTACCAAAGTAAAGTTGTGTGTATGCATGTTTTTCTTAAGTATGGCTTCCACACAAATGATATATTTTGAAGTGGAATGAGATTAATCAGACAGGCATGTTACACTGCTCTATAATTCTTGTGTGCACTACAGTTTCTTCATCGAAAATTCATAGTAAAAATCTGAGAGTAATGACACTGAAATATTTTAGTTTTCACAGATGATACTTTTTTTGAGGTTATCTTCTGTGCTCATAGTGTAAGTAAGTTTGGGACTTCAAATACCATCTTGGTTAAGGTTGTCCAGCTACGCTGCTGTTTTCTTTTTGACCTCTAAATAAACTTTTTGTTAAACATCCCCCTCTACATACAAAATTTATTTAAAAATTGCAATAATATTCTCACAAAAAAGCAGAGGCTTTGATTCAGAAACTGATTTCCAAGTACATACATAAGGGCTTTCATTTCACCCATATATAAATGGCCCCAGAGAAAGATACATGAAAGCTGGGTGCTGATGGTTTTCGCCTGTAATCCTAGCTGCTGAGGAGGCAGAGGTCAGGGTGATCAAAGTTTGAAGGCAGCCTGGGCAAATAGTACCTCAAGAAGATATCTCAAAAAATACCTTCACAAGGAAGGGCTGGTAGAGTGGCTCAAGGCATAGTAAGTCTTAGTACCTCAAAAAATAAAAGAGAAAGATACATGAGAAAACTACCAACTACAGATGGTCTTTGTGGCATTGTTTAATTAGGCATAGGATAGGCAGGAAATAAACAGGTCATAGTTAGGTTACCTCTTGCATCCATTGTCCAACCATCAAGTTCACATTATATGCACAAGGCAGTAAACACTCAAGTGTTTTTTCTGGACAACTTCTTGAGATTGGGATGCTCTTCAGGGCTTCACATCTCTCCTCATGCCTCTTCCTTAGGTCAGTGTGATCACTTTCAGGTTCCTCAGTCTCAAGTCACCCATCCTGCAATACAAATCAGAATCTGTTGCCTTACTGGGTCTCATGTAACAAAATAAAAGATTCCTAGAAAGTGGTTTTTCAGAGATGGGGTGTTTCTGAAGTGGTAGAGCACTTGTCTAGCAAGTGTGAGGCCCTGAGTTCAAATCCCAATACTACCAAAGAAAAAAACAAAAGGAAGGGAGGAAAGGAGGGAGGGAAGAAAGGGAGGAAAAGAAAGAAAGAAAGAAAGAAAGAAAGAAAGAAACTCATTTTTCAATTGAATTTTATAGCTCTCAAATGATCAGTATCTACTAGTCAGTATTTAGACAAAATTAAAAGATTTAGCTGGGTGCATGGCTCATTCCTATAACACCAACTACTTGGAAGGGTGAGACAGGAATGTCACTTGAGCCCAGGAGATGGAGATGTGGCGATGACCCTGTCTCACAGAAAATAATAATTAAGAGAGGTCATATATATAAGTTAAAAAGATCATATATTCCACCTAGCACATGGAAACTTTAAAGACTCCTATATAGAGTCCTACAGGGATTAGTGCTCTACATTTCCTAAATTATGCACCAGAGAACATTAGTCCCTTAAAATGCAACTTGCAAAAATGTTTCCCCTTAGAAATCCACAATATAATTTTTCATGAAAGGGCACATTTGTAGGATAAAAATTATAAGGAAAATTTTATGCATATATGTACGTGTATGTATAAATGTATGACATGTATGCTGACTATTGTGCATTTTTCAACCCTTCCATGATAAATATTTGTTGATCAGATTTAATTTAGCAGAAGATAAAGGGGAAAAAAGAAAAATTAGAAAGACAATACTTAAGGGCTGGAGGGTCACACCTTTTTGGCAAAGGCATTATTTATGAAGGTTGGGACTGGTCTCAGACTGCACTCCTCCTACATTCACATTTTGCATGCTGGGGATTACTCTGCCTGGAGAGTTGATTGATATGGGATCTTCCTAACTTTTTACCTGGGCTGCCATCAAAAAACAATCTGCATAATTTCTGCAACCTGAGTAGCTGAGAATACAGACATGACCTACCATGCCTAGCCTATTTTACACCAAAACTAATTTTCTTCTTCTGAGAGCTGGAAAAGAGATACTAAAAGTAGACACCCTTGAGCTGTGGACAGTGATATTCAGTAGTTGCATCTACCTATTGTCCATTTTATATGCAGGTTCTGACTTAAAATCTTAAGAAAATGCATTTAGTCATAAACAGGAAAGAAACAGTAGCACTGGAGTAGGTTAGAAACCATCATTAAACACACGTGAGTAAGTGAATTACTCTTAGAGTTTCTCTCTAATGTATCACACAAGACCTTTGTGATCATACTGTGTGGGTAGCTAGCTGGTAAAAGTGGCATTTGTAGGATGCAAATCTAGGAGAAACTGAGTCTCTATAAATTAAGAGCAGGTACTTCTTGTTCAAAATTAACTCTCTACTGTTCAATCCTTACACATTCAAACTTATTTTTCTTTGTCACCCCCCAAATAATCAGAAAAAAAGGAAATTGTCCTATTTTAGGTAAGACTCACTTTATTTTGTTAATAGGCTCTGACTGTGCAGCTCAGGCTGGCCTCAAAATCAAAGTCCTCCTGCTTCAGCCTCCTGAGAGCTAGGATTACAGATGTGTACTAACACACTGTCCTCTTTGCTATCCTTTTAATAAAAACAAAGTGTCATTTTTTGAATGCCTGTTGTTTCAGAGTTCTCTTGACTTTTGCAAGGGTGCAAAAAAAAGAGAAACTATTTCCTGAAAGAACACATGCGGGTAAAGTATATTTTAGGTGTACATGTGAGAATAGTCTGTTCATGTATTTACATTACCTATCACCTTTGGAGATTTTGTCAGCAACTTAATTTTTTCCTAATAAGTATCTATGAAACAAGTAATACCATACTATTTTTATTCCGTTGTACATTGTGACAGCTCAAAAATACTGTTGAGTTACTAAGAACAGTATATGAGTGAGAAAGTTATCCAAGTGAGATCATTGTAATTGATCCAGAATTGTGTGAAGCATTTGATTGGCTGGGGCTGGAGTTTGATAATCTCCTCACTTAGAAACTCTTACAAAGAAGTGTACATTGTCTGTGTAGAAGGTTATTGATTCAAGTAGCATTCCCATGAACACAGTGGTACCCACAGGTCAGAAGTTACTTGTTATTCTGCTCTTAACAATAGTGGATTCCTGCAGCTGACCAAGAGAATTTATTTAGATTGCTGTGTGGATGCTGTCACTTGTATTTGGTGCTATGTCACTGAAAGGAAGTAAGAATGTTTTTTTTCTCATTTTCTTGCAGATGCCAGACACTGGAAGATTCTTATTCCTGCTACACAAGAATTCTTCATTTTGACCCCCTTATCTAAATATACAACAGTAAACTGTGACTTTCAAACTGACAAATGCCTTTTTTCCTCCTTTGTGTTCTTTAGACATTTGGTGTCAGAGCTTTCATATATAACATTTAGTTAGATACTTTGAGCATTTGTTCTAATTAATGAGACAAAGATTTGACATTATCTTAAGTATCCCAGAAAAGGAAGCAGGAAACATGGGCTAGAAAAAATAATTACGTATTTGTGTTCTCTGGCATCCACTGACTTTCTTTTATTTTTTCTTTGTTTAGTTCATTTGTTTGCTTTTTGAGGCAGCACCTCAAACACCTCAGCACAGTAGCCCATGCTGGCTGTGAACTCAGGGTCCTGCTGCTTCAGTCATCCAAGAGCCATGACAACCTGGCCTGGACAAATTTACAGAAATGGGTTTGTTAATATCAACATATCTGTTCATGCAATCTCTGAGATGTTGATAGCATTTACATAGCACTTCCTTTTTATTGTTTTGCTTGGGGATTTTGCTGAGAATGGTGTAGAACTCACTATGTATCTCACTGCTGGAATTATAGGCATGTACACCTGCCCTCCATTCATATTTAAAATCTTTAGGACATCTTGCTGTGTGAACATTTCCAACATAGAGAAGGTTTGTTTTATTTATGTCTACACATTCCATATAGAAAATGTAGTAGTTGTTAAAATAGGTGTTAATTATTACATAGGGTTGAAGCCTGCAAAGGAGGAAGGAACAAAGAAATCTGTGGAGAAGACATAGGCTTTTGAGATGTGTGAGAATTTTGATTCTGTTTCCAACATTAAATCTGTGAGGATGACCACCATAGGATATGTGTGTGTCCATTTAGATTCCCGAAACACCCTAGATCTGGCTATTCTAGCATCTCATGGACTCTCACCAGGAGGAGACTTTATGGTCTCTCCAGATGAGTTTTGGTAGGAGTGTGTTACTGTGTTAGGAACTGAACCTAAAACCTGATGCCTGCAAAGCTAGTGTTCTATCACCCAGACAAGTTTTAGGTTGTTTTCAGGATAAATTTGGTTTGGTTTTAAAACCGTAAGGCATAGGGTAGAGTTTGGGATCTGGTATAAATAGGAATTTGGATGAAGCATACCTACAAATGTTTCCAGAAATATTCTCTGTAGTATTGTTTGCAGGTGACAGATAAGATTGGGGCATGGAGTTCAGTGGGCTGCCTCCTTCCAAGAGTTTCACACAAGCAGGATTCTCTCCTAATGTGGCAGAGCTATGTGGTTTATTTAGGTCCACACTAAAAGCAATCAGCACCAGTTCAACGTTATTTCTGCTCATAGCTGTGTGATGTTAAATGAGTTGACTATTTCTTCTGGAGACGGTGGCAGAATATTGAGAGAACAAAGCCACCGTTGTGATGATTTCTGTTCATATATAAACCAACACCTTACAACAACTGCATTTTAAGGTAGTCATAGACTGGAAAATACAAAAGTCTGAACATTTTTATCTCTTTTGGAGATGACAGCTCAAACTGTCCCTACTAAACTTGCAGCCAGAAACTCCTTGTAGAGTGAGTTGGAATACATTTCAACAAAAGAAATAAAGAAAAAAGAGTAAATTTTGTTTTATAATTACCTAAAGGGAAGGGGCAAGCTAAATACCTACTGCCCATGAGAAACACTAGTTTGGAAGGCCATCTCTTTGTTTCTTAGAACATAATCAGAAACATTGGGTTTTTGAAGCATAAGTAACATTCACTGTAGAAGGCAGCCTTCTTAGTGTGTGTTTTGGTAACTCGCAAAATACAGAGTCCTGTTGTTTTATTTTTTTAAATAATGATTAAAACTACCACTTGATCTGATTTACAAGCCTTTAAAGCCTTTTCACTGATCTTGATTTTGTTTGATGGAAATGTTGGAAGATTCCAAGAAACTGGTATGAGGACATGCCTGTTTATCTTTACCTCTTCTGTTAGAAATTGGGAAAAACAGCTTGTCTTTGAGACGTTCTTGTCTTTGGGACCTTCATTTTTAGAGTACACATTTCCTTTGAATTGTGAATAGTGAATATTTTGCCTCGGTTTTAGTTGAATTCAAGTGTGATGATAAAAGTTAAGCAGTATTTTAATGGGTTATTCTGAAGAGCCAAGCTCTGAGTCCTGAATTTTTGCTTTTATTCAAGGCTTAGGTTAAATGGGGAGAAAATTTAGATTTAACTTTAAGTAGAGCACTTTAGTCCTTTTCACTGGTAAGATAGAAAGGTAGATCCTTGAGTAAGTATCCATGGCAAAGAATATAGTATACTGATATTCTTGGTGTCTTTTAAAGTCCTTTGCCCAAAGCTTGGGATTAAGCAAGAACTGAAGAGATAACATTTTACTTTAATCATTTCTTAAAATGTCAGGTTGTAAAAATCAAGGCATTTTGTGGATATACATATATATAAATATATATATATATATATATATATTTATATATGACATATTTTATATTCTTTTACTTATAATATACATTAACATAATTCTAATGAATATACTTATAAATTGAGTATAATTATAAATATAAGTAACTATATTTTTTATTTATTGATTATATATTTTTACACATTTTCTTGTATCTTTACACATGTAAATATGCATATTTTTTAAAAATTTAAGTATAGGAAACCCAAACCCAAGACCTTAAGCAGATAGGGCAGACCTCTACCACTCTGCATCTATCAGTCTTTTGATCTACCAATCTGCTTGTCTATTAATCTAATTATCTATCTATCTATCTATCTATCTACGTACCTATCTATCTATCTAGCTAGCTATATGTATTGTATTTTTGTTTTTGTTTTGTTTTCGAGATATGTTATCCTTATGTTACTCAAACTGGCCTTAAAATTTCAACCGTGCTGCCTCTCCACCACATCTGAGTCCTGTATTTTGAAAGATCAAAGCTGGACTACCATCGGGAAATAAGGCCTTAATAAAGTAGATACTTCATGTAACCATTTCACTAGGTAAGATAGTGAAAATTTCTACCAAATTCCATGCAAAAAATACCATAGCAGCAGTGTTTTTTACTTTTGATCTCCTTTCTGATACTCTTAAGATACAGACATATTCACATCATACTTTAGAATTCTGGACTCTTTGAAGACCAGAGGACAAATTGACCTTTAACCTCACACCAAAAAGCTCTGCTGACTTTCTCTTCCAACCATGCTGTAATATGATCATTGCAAACCTGTATGTGAAATGTACATTTGCCTTTCACATGACGGTTCTATTGCATGGTCCAACTCTGCTTACAATCTTAGTCACTGATGAGACAAATATAAAATCTAAGGTTGTTTATGACTAGGAAAAACAGCATGCTCAGCCAGACAGTAACTCCATTCTTAACAGACTTTCACTTGTGCTTACTTTATTTAAAACCGATTCTATATAAACTTAGAATAGTGAACAGTCTTTGAGGAAACCTGATGAGGATTTTAATCGTTTATGTCACTTGCAGGAACATAAAATAGGCACATTCAGGCTGAATGAAAAACTACTGCTTATAAGCCAAACCATGTCTTTTAATTTTTATTGCAAACCTTGTCACTGAGGATCCAAGCTTGGTCATGTATGCCTGTAATTCTAAGGTGAGGCAGGAGGATCTCAACTTCAAGGCCAAATGAGCTATGTAGCAAGAAGATGTCTCAAAATGTTTAAAAAGGTTAAAATTTAGTATTTCAAGTTTCCTGTTTTCATCCCATTTCCTCTAACTGGGTTTTGAATGTTTTATTCCTGTCAATATATTCTATAGTAGATCTTTATAGTACAAGTGCAAATGGAAAGTCTTGATGTTAAGATTGAGAAGCTCCATTGAGATATCATTTCATATGTCATGTCTTCAGCTATGTCAAGCTCTCTATCTACACTCTTACTTTTCTATTCACACTAGTTTCATAGCAATTAAGTTGTGTTGTAGTAATCTTCTAAATGCCTGTAATTGTGTTTGGAAAGGAACAGAAATGAAACCTGTTATTTTAAGCTGAAAATAAATATAGTACAGAAATCCATTGAATAGCTGGAGGAGTTGATTATGGGTGAGACTTGTAGGAATGACTCCCTGAATTCTCCCAGACTAACCCACCAAAGAACTGCAGCCTCCAGTGAACTAAATTCAAGAATGTCGCACCATAACTACACCCCTGCAATGTGTGTTGTACCAGGTTTTTATAGAGCTCCTGATTTAAGCAAACATTTTCAAATGATCAGCTGAAATGGAAAAAGGGAAACTGGTAATTAGTACTTGAAGCACAGAGAATTTTCCCTAGGGTATGTTGGGGGTTTTGAACGTTTGCTTTTGTAATAAAACAGATCTTTATTCTCTCCTACTCTCCTCTCTCTTCTGTCCTCTTCCCTTTTGTATCCTGTACTCTCCTCTCCTTTTCCCTTCTGTATTCTGTACTTTGCTCTCCTCTCCTCTCACAGGAACAGGTACCAATCAAAGATGTTAACTATAAATGGGCAGACAAAAACTGCTTGAGGAAAGTGATTGTGAGAACTGTTAAGAGGTAACATTGAATTAGTGTCAAATCAGACTTATCTTGGGTCTGACACCAGCCTCATGACATCAGATAAAGTTAACTTTCTGTGTCTCAGTCCTCTTACATGAAGAGAAGTAATAGAACTAGATGACTTTCAACATTCTATTCAACCATAACATTTGGGGCATTTTACTTGTTCAAGTGAAAAAAATAGTATTTTAAAAATAATAAGATTGTGAAACAAATTTCTAGTGCTTTTGACCATTCTGTAAAATTTTTCTGCCTACCTCAAAATATTCTCTGAGGTCAAGCAGATGAGATGAAAGCAGTATAAGAAGAAAGTAGCCTAGAATATGAAGACATTTCACCATTTAACTCATGGCCTTGCTCTTGCTAGTTAAGTGCTCTACCACCTGAGTTACACACCCCCAGTTATATAGTGTTTTTTTTTAAATACACAGAGCAATTTTAGTGTTTAAAGTCCTAGTTAAACTGTTTCCAGGCATTGAGGAGGGCAAACTTCTTCAATGAACCATCACTGGTTCTAGGAACTCTAGGGACTTATCAGAGCCTCAAAAGGTCAGGTTTGTTATTTTTTTTTAAGTGCCCTAAAGCATTGACTGTTGTTTTAGAACCAAGATTAATAGAGCTTAGACTACATCCCTAAAGCCTCCTTTGGGCTTGATGAGGTACTTAGTAGATTTTGCCCTTTTTCTGTCAAGACTTGGCCTTTCTTCTCTTGCTTCTATGACAAAGCTACTTTTCAGAACACCATTTTCAGATAAACAATCAGATGTTAGTCAAGGGTCAGTTTGACAATACAGATTTTTTGGGGGGGGTCTTTTTGTTTGTTGTTTTCCTCAAAACAGGTGGCACCCAGCAAAGTTCAATGCTCTGAGGTTGAGTGTGTAACCCTACTCCTCTCTCCTGCTAATATGATTTCTTATTTTATTTCAAAACTTGTTTTCCAGTTCCAGCTCAGTCCAAGAACTTTCATCGCTTTATCACACCCCTGACATTTTCTCTCCAATGAAGACTGTAGATTCACCAGGACTAATATGTCCTTTGCATATACATGTTTCAAGCTGGCAAAAAGTTCCATCTAACATATAACACAGATTCTAACAAGGGCTTAGATTATAACAAATTTAGATTATAGATTTTTAGATTGTAGACTTATAACAAGGGCTTCTAGCCACCTTCTTTTCCTTGCTACAGGGAAAAGTGAGTGAATGTAAGTGTTTAGTTCTCAGGCAAACAGGATACAAACCACAGTGTTCCATCTATTACTAAAGGAGACAAAGTAAGTAAGTTGTACCCATGAAATTTGTCTTGGTGACAGCCCTATACTTAGACCTTTTGTCGTAAAAGTGATTCTCAAAGCACATTCTAACTCTCACCTACATCAGAATTTCTTTGGATACTTATTTAAAATACAGATTCTTGGGCTTTGATCCAGATTTCCTGAATCAGAGTATATAGAAGCAGCACACAAGAGGCTATTTTTCACAACAAGCCTCATTAATTTGTATGTACAATAAAGGTGGTGAATCCTCTATGTATAATGGACTTTTGGGAGAAAGATAATCCACACGGTAATCATGGAGTGTAACTGCCAACACAGTGGCTCATTGATCTAATAATCTGTTCTTACCTTTGGTCACTTACTAACAAGACTTGGAGATCAGAGATCCAGATTTTCTCTGTGCTGAGAGTATGTCTTGGGTGATGCTTGTAACTAACAGCAATAATCTAAAGTTACTTGTTAGTAAAGTGATGCTTTTCTTGGAAACATTCTCTATAT